CTCCCTGACACCGCTGTCCTGCTTGGCCTCCAGCCCCTCCTCCCCACTCCTCCCCACTCCTCCTCACTCTTCCCCATTCCTCCCCACTCCTCCCCATTCCTCCCCATTTTTCCCCACTCCTCTCCATTTTTCCCCACTCCTCTCCATTTTTCTCCATTCCTCCCCATTCCTCCCCATTCTTCCCCAGGTTGCAGCCTCTGCCTCCTTTCCCTCCACTTTTTAGCTTTTCGTCCCACCTGCCCAACCGCCAAACCACTCTCAGCCCAGGGCGCTGCTCAGCCTGTGCCAGGTTCTGCCCTTTTCCCTGTGGTTCGCTTTTGGTGGCTGCGGAGGTGGCTGCGGTCACACAGGCCAGCGCCTGGCCAACACACGGAATCTTTGGTGCCCTCTGCACCGTGCGCTGTCACGAGCTGCTTGGCCAGCACAAATCTGAGGAGCCGGTACCTCCCTCGTGCCGACGCGTGGCACCTTGGGGCATGGCACAGGAGCAGGTGAGCAGCTCGCTGGTTTAAAGAAGTAGAGCTTTTCGCCCTTTTCTGCATCAATTCAGATCCAGCCCCACCATCGCTGCCACCCGTCAGACCCACGGGTGACAACAAAGGCAGCGTCCCACCCTGGAGCCTCCCTCTCCCACGGGATGCGGCTGTGGATGTCCTCTTGGGATTTTTGTTGTGTTGCTGAATTGCACACTGACTCTGCAGCAGGTTTAGTGGGTTACCCCAAATTAATATTCAAGCAGGATGAGGACAGCAAGGCATGACAGGCTGCTGTTCCTATAATTTATTCTTGTTTTGATGAGAGGGATCTGTTACAAAGCTGAGCTGCTCTCCCTTCTGCTTCCCTACGGTTTTGATTGAGTGCTCAGTTTCCCAGATCACAAATGTCCAAGTTTAACACCTGCACGGCTCCGTAGTGCGGGACACGTGGGCTGCACAGATGTCCCAGCATCACCCAGCTGCTGGGGACCTCCTGGCTGGCCCTGCAGCCGCCACAGCAAGCGGGGATGAAGATTCCTGTGGATTTGTGCAGATTCTGCTTCGGGATTCAGGATGGGTGGAGGCATCTGGGAGGGAAGTTTGTCTTCATTTGTGCTTCTCATTTTATGAAATATTTTGGACCGTATGCTGCAGCGGAGGGGAGGAAGGAGCAAATGGTGGTGTCTGGGGTTAGGATGGGCCGGTAGGGAGCTGTCCCCCCATCCTGCTCCCCTTTCCCCATAACCTCCCTGGGGCAAATGACAACCCTGTCCCCCTCTTCTTGCCCTGCAGCTGAGGCTGACATGACCATGTCCTCCCTGTGCTAGGGCTGCCCCCACCGCCTCGGTGACTGTCCCCCAGCCCGGTGACGAGGATGCGCGCCTGGAAGGCAGTGGCCAGCACGCTGGCACTCAGCGGGGCCGATGTGGTGGTCACCACGCTGCTCTATGTCCACGGCCGGAGCGGTCGGGATGTCCTGCAGGACCTCCGGCACTTCAACATCTTCAACTCGCTGCTGGACATCTGGGGGGGTTGCCTCTACCGCAGCTGTGTGCTGCTGGGGGCTGCCATCGGGGTGGCCTCCAACACAGCCTACGGCCCCCGGCGCCTCCGGGCATCGCAGACCTTCATCGCCGTCGTCTGCCTCCTCATGGGCATCTACATGATGGTGAAGCTGCTGCTCTACTCAGAGGTGCGGAGGACCATCAGGGACCCCTGGTTTTGGGGGCTCTTTGCCTGGACCTACGTGGCGCTGGTGGCCACCTTCGGGCTGTGGCAGCTGCTGGCCTGTGTCACCTCCTCCCGCGAGGCGCTGGGGACTGGCTCCGAGTCCCGTGCGGAGGCGGAGGAGAGCTGCGATGGTGGCACTCCAAGCTGCTGCTCTACTCAGAGGTGCGGAGGACCATCAGGGACCCCTGGTTTTGGGGGCTCTTTGCCTGGACCTACGTGGCGCTGGTGGCCACCTTCGGGCTGTGGCAGCTGCTGGCCTGTGTCACCTCCTCCCGCGAGGCGCTGGGGACTGGCTCCGAGTCCCGTGCGGAGGCGGAGGAGAGCTGCGATGGTGGCACTCCGCGGGACAAGCGGGAGGAGGCGGCGGGTCCCACTATCCACAAGCTGCTGTCCTACACCAAGCCGGACGCCTTCTTCCTGGGCATCGGGCCGCACTGGGTGAGCGAAGGGACGGGGGGGACCGTGATGTGCTCCGTGGAAGGAGCTGGGCTGGGGGGACTTGGCAGCACCCCAGGCTTGCTTTTGTGGGGGTGCTGGGGGGCATGTCCTGCACAGCAATGGGGCAAAAAAAAATTGCAATGGGGGATAAAATAAACTGGGAATTGAAACATCCACACGTGCTACTAAGGCGTGCACCTCTTGCGACATCTCATGCGATGGCCAAGTATCTCCACAGTGGGGTTGGGGTTGTCCACGGGCAGTCACGCTGGAAATACAGGTCCTGTGGCAATCTCATGCTGTGGGGCTGAAACCCTTCGTCTTGTGCTTGTCTGGCAGGAGAGACCTTCCTGCCCTACTACACGGGGCTGGCCATCGACGGCATCGTGGTGCAGAAGAGCATCGGCCGTGCTGGTCATGTCGCTGCTCGCCATCGGAAGGTAATCGCAGGGGCTGGCTTTGGCCCTGGTGAGGGGGAGTTTGGGGTTTTCCCACAGGAGCTCACAGTGGCAGTGGGCATGGGGTGTCCCATCTGCAGCTTGGAGTTCTTTGCATCGACATGGCACAGAGTGGCCAGGGTGGCAATCACGGGGCTGTTGTGTCGCCCTCCACC